CCCCCCCCAACTATCGGATGCATCCTCGGCCTCGGACCGATCCTGTGTCACGGATTCATTCGCCATGGGAAGACTGAAATACCACGTAAATAAACTATTGATCACACGATATAGATTTTGCTCCATGAGGCAGAAACTAGCGAAAACTGGGGTGTCGACATGTACTGTGCGGACCGCTATAATCCTATCTAGATCGCGAGAAGGATGAATAGAATCAAGTAGTTCAGAGAACTGACATCGAACAAAGCGTAAAATGTTGTTGGAAACATAAGAAAATGCTCATTTGGATAGCACTCCCAGTCTATAGGAGACGGGGTCATCCCGATATTGCTTCTCATTGACCGGGGTAACTTATAGTTCGGAGCACTCCTAGTGGCTGGTTCGGCCTTTCGCCGATATCGATATCGACCAGAATCACTACAATCTCTGGTTTGGTACGAAACCAGCATGAAGTCCAGTGTAGTAAACAAGGGGTAAAACGTACTATCACCTCGCCCAGCGATCTATACTATAAGTTAAAGTTGACTCTATTCTACATTTAGCCCTAACAATCAAACAACCATAAAACACACCTCCATTTCCCACCAGCCTGATTATCCATGATTATAAATTTATAAACATGCAATAAGACTAGACATCGGAAAAGAAGAGAACTCATAGTCATAGTCATATCAAATCAGACCGGCTAGCGCCAAGTATTTCTATCCCTTTTCCCCTGCAAGCCTATCCTCCCTGTTCCCGTTCGCCGCAAAACAAGAACAAGAACAAATGTGAAGATGAAGAGAATAAAGAGAGGAAACGATAAAAAAAGGACAAGCAGAGGCTGAGAACAGGTCAGAACGTCCTGTCCTATACCTAAGCCAGGTTGCCACCACACCCCATTCCCACCGAAAGCCAAACAACTGCCGCGGACGCCATGCGACATACGCCCATGCCCATGTTCGAAACGCCAAAGAGGACAAAGACACAGAGAGAAACCAAGAGAGGAGATGATGAGGACAGCCCAGAAGAGGATACAGGATGAGACAAGAAAGAGAGACAAAGACATCACATCCAACCACTCTCACTCCCCATCCTCAATCCCATCCAACCCATCAATAAGCGACTGCGAAGGTTTCCTCCCAGCACCATAAACCATCTCCATAAGCTTAGCCTTCTGCCTCTCCCTCACAGAGCGCAGATAATCATACGTCCCCTCCAACCCGCGAATCTGCCCATCAATAACAGCCTCAACAGGACCAAGCATGCGTCCTGCCGTCCCCGAATTCCCCGCCCCATTGCCACCATCAACAGAGCCGACGAAACTAACGGAATCATTGCGCCGCACGAGCGGACTAACGAGTTTCCGTCTTAACGTCTCGAGATTCACCTTCAGCGTGAGGAGACGACCACGGTGATCGACGAGGAGATGTTTATTCGCGACTGTGCGACTGCGCACGTTCGCGAGGAGTCTTTTATTCTTCTCGTATTTGCGGACGACTGAGGCGTCTGGCCCGAGGACGCGCGTCCAGAGGGAGGATAGCATTTCGCCCTCTGCACGTTCCTGTGCGTCTGATTCGCGGACGACTGTTCGTTGGAGGTTGAGGAATTGGCGGTCGATGGATTCGAATAGGGCGAAGAGGGCTGTTGAGTGGGAGAGTTCGCTGTTGATTGATTCTTCTAGGACTGAGAGGAACTCTGTGAAGGTTCGCGTTAGGGTTGTGCGGGTGCGTTGTGCCGAGGTTGGGCCGAAGACGGCCATTATGAGGTGGCCTAGTGGTGTCGATGTTGGGTTGCCGTTGTCGAGTTGGGAGCGTTCTAGGGCGCCGAGGCGGGAGAGCATGTTGTGCATGTTGTCGAAGACGATGGTTGGGAGGGAGCTTGGGGGTTGGGCGGAGAGAGTTTCGAGTTCGCGTTTGGCCCAGTCCATTACTATCAGGATGGAGTCGATGTCTGAGTCGACGTTTGCGAAGAAGCGGGTTAGCTCTAGGGAGAGGGATTTGAGGGAGTCGGAGAGCTCGTCGAGTTGGTGGACGATTATTGGGGCGCTGGTCATGTTTGTGCCACGGACCGACTCGCTCAGGTCCCAGACTGCTACGCCTGTTTCTTGGAGGGTTCCGATTTGCTGCACTCCGTTTTCTGAGTAGTATATCAGGGGTTCAAAGGAGCGCGCGAAACCGGATAGTTTGACGAGATCGGGGATCGATTGCGGGAGGCCTGGGAGAAGTAGGGCGCGCATGAAGGCAATGGAGACTAGTAGCATGACGATGGAGAGGGTGGTGTTAGATTTGGAGCTTGTCATGCGCTCAAACTTGGAGCGCACCCAGCCAAACATGGCGGCAATGGGTTCTCGGTGCTGGACTTCTGCACGCACTGCGAAGCGAATATCTTCATTCATTCGCAAGAACATGTTAGTATACCCGCGCCTGCAGCTGAAACCAGATCAGACAGGGCCTACAGTTGCTCAGATTCTCCGCTCCAAAGCCCCTTTCATCGTCCTCGGGACTATGACGAGGCGTACGATTTGACCTGGGAGCCGGAGCCGGACTGGGAGATCGTCCATTGAGGGGTGTATCTGGCCCGGGCGGTAGAGGCACATTAGCCGCGACAGTGGTGTCGCTACCTTTCCCATGGGCTGGCCCTTCGAGCGCATCCTCATACTGTGGACTTGGCTCGCGCGATTGCGACGGCGACACGCTCAACCCGACTGTGGGCTTGAGCTGCAATCGCTCCGTCTGGGGGTTACCTTTGCGCAGGTAGGGCTGGTGGCGGTACCACCCACTGCCTTGGGCGTATTCATGTTGGAATCCTGGGGGCGACCAACGCTCCTGGGCTGGGTCCTCAAGGTCCCCGTCTTCCCCGTCGGACTCTTCAGACCGGAACCCAGAATGTTGGGAGGGAAGACCAAACATTGGTGAGCGGTGGGGGTTTGTGTTGCTCTCGAAGTCTTCGAGCGAAGCATCCAGGGATGGATGATCGTCGAAGACATTGTCTAGCTCATCCAGCATGGCGGACGGCGTACCGTGTGTGTCGTGCCCCAGTGGGAGAGTCACTGCAGATGCGCAGCGACGGAGCGCAGATCAATCCTTGTGGGAATAGAGTCGGGAACCAGTTGAATTCCCTGGGAACTAGAGTCAGTAAATGCGCCTGGACAGTCAGTCTGCGCAAGTCGTTACAAATGTTGGCGCAATGGATGCGCCGATGCGATAAGGTATGCGATGCGATGCAATAGATTCGTGAGTATGATATAAGTTCTCGAGATAGTTGCGCTGAAGATGCGATCCAGGTTAATACGGTACTAAGATCGAAACGCCTCGTCGAGCAATGCAGGAAGGAGAGAGATCCCCTCCCCTCACTTGTAGAGTCGAGGAGGCTGGGCCAATCACCCTATCCATCGGTCATGTGCTGAGACTCGAGGCACTAGCGTGTACACAGTACTTGGTGTGTACGAGGGAGGTACACTGTTGCTTAGTGGATCACTGCGCCACTGCCAGGTACCCGCTTGGTACCACCCAAGTGCAGCTGTGCCTGACCGCTCATGTTTGCCCAATCGATACGTCTGACATGATGGGCCAATCATAATACAAAAACGCATCACAGTATTTAGCAGTTAAGACAAGCCGTTTGCAATGCGTTTGTTAACGTTTATGATCTGCAAAGTAAGGACAAAGAGGAGATCAAAATCTATTGTGGGTGTAATAATAATACATGCCCGGTTCTTTGGATACCCGGAAATCAGCCCACGCCAGTGAACCGATAAAAAAGAAGAATGCCAAAAGTCGTCAAATCATTTATGCGGTGGCCTCCTTGAGGTGACTGGAAAGGGGTTAGTTTATGCTTCAGGTTTTATGGGTGGGTCGAACTAACGTGATGAGATCGTTGCGCTCCTTGCCCTTCTTGAGGCCACCGAAGGCCATCTTGGTGCCGGGAATGAACTTCTTGGGGTTCTCGAGGTACTTGAACTGTAGGACGCATAGTGGTTAGCGGTGAACGCGACTTCCTGGAAAGTTGTAAAGTTGTGACTTACGAGAGTATCCTCGTTCCACTCAACACCGGCCTGCTTGTTGGCGTCGGTGTAGGCGTAACCCTCGGAGGAACCGGTCTTACGGCCGAAGAGACCGTGCAGGTTGGGGCCGACCTTGTGGGCACCGCCAGCCTCGACAGTGTGGCACTGAGCGCAGCGGGTCTAGAAATGAAGCTGTCAGTGTTGTCCGGCGCATACGTCAGTCGAAGCTACTCACCTGGAAGAGCTTGGCACCCTTGGCGGCGTCACCTGGAGTCGCGTTAGCCATTGTTTCGGCGGCCTGTTTCGCTTCTGCGTCGGCGGTTTCTTGGGATTCTTGTCTCTTTCTGTCCATGACTGCCGAGACGGCCATCATGGAGTGGACGCAGAAAGTGTCGAAAGTGATGGTCATGTTGAATGGCAGGGGATGGGATTTGCAAAGGTTGAGGTGAAGGCGATGCGAGAGGTTGCGTTGAGGAAAGTGAGTCCGGCGCATCCTATGGTCAGACTGCCTCTCAATGTTGACAGCATCCCCAACTGAGGAAACCACACCATGGCCGGAATACAGTCACTTTTCCTCGCGCGCAACTCAAACACAGCAGCTTCACCTGCACTCAATGGCGTGGCATTGGAGAGTAGTCTTACCGGGAGCGAAGGAGTCGTTCTTGGGGGCCATTGTGAGGTATTATAAAGGATATAATGGTAGATTAATAGTTGTACAAGTTTGAAGGAAAATTGTGGAAAGGGAGAGAGCAAGATTTTCCCTTATGTAGCCCGGCCACTCTCGTAATCCGGGCCGGAGCCAATCAGCGTGCAGATTATTCAGGTCGACGGGCGCAACCGGGAACTTCGGTGTGTCTGCGCTTTACTGTTCCTGGTAATTCTCTCTGTTATTGTTGTGTTTGGAATATTTGTGGCTATTCTAATGGATAGAGGCAAACCTGCTCTTTACTTCTACATCTTGCTTTCGCCTCATGACCTCATCCCTCATCATAACCTGAGCCGGGTTCCGAACTATAGCTCCAAGGTGCATAGCTGCATATCATGAGTTCAAAGCCCGAAACATTCAATCTCTTGTAATCCCGGGGTCCCTTTCATAGTCCCGGGGCGTCGTGGTCATATCCCTTCTTCCGAGAAATGGCTGCGGGTTCCCCGTGGCTTCGAAATGAGTTTTCTTTCATTCGCCCCAGCTGGTCCGCATGTGGATCCTGAGGCCGAGGCGGTATATTTCCGAGTGAAACCCGAACTGGATTTAGCCTGTGACTATGCAGTAGACCACACATATAGTATAGGTGATCCATTGAGACCACGCTAAGGGGGGAAGTGAAAGATAAACTCCATGGATATAGTTTCAATTGACATCGAAGCAAAGTAAACAGCTGACCTAGTCAAAATTTCATCATATGCGGCCAATGCCGGACTAAAAATATCCGGCAACATCCAGTCACGTGATAGCCTCTCCAAAAATTGCACTCCGCATCAACAAAGTCGCGATAGTAGGCCCAACCCAGCAGCCTCACAACGCCAGGAGAAACCAGGCAACCCAAAATGCCAACCCCAATCCCTTCCTTCCTCCTCCCCCGAGGCCCCCCCTCAACCCTAATCATGCGCACCCTCCACCGCCAACCACAACGAACATTCACGACAACGCGCGCAGCCTTCAAAAAAGCCAAAAGCAATGCCAATGCCAACAGCAAACCGCGCGTCCTTGAAAAACCAGACAAGTTCCGACCCCCGTCACACCCCCAGCGCTATGTAGCGCCATCGCCCAAAAACGCACCCCCAGGCCAACCATTCGAATACGGTCCTCGCACAACTCCCAAGGAAATCGAAGAGCAGAACACGAAGCAGTATCCGAATATGTTCCCGCCGGAGGGGACGGTTATGCATAAGTTTTTGACTAGTAAATGGATTCATATTTGGATTGCCATGGTATGTCTACTCTACACCTACGTCTAACCTACACCCTGAGATATCATATCTATCTGCAACCTTACCTGGAGTACAATCAGCCCAATTGCAATTGCAATTGCTAACCTATCCTCTTTATAATAGAGCATTCTCTTCTCCCTAGCAACATTCACCTTCACAACAAACTTCAAAGCAACCTCCCCCTTCGCCCATCTCCTCCCATCCTGGTCCGAACTCCTAACCAGTCCCTTCGGCACAATTTCGCGCGCCTTCTCTGTGTGGCGTATGCATGTGCAGCATGAGTCTATGCGTGTGCGTGAACAGAGGCACCGCCGTGTTGAGGATGCTGAGAAGAGGAAGATGTATCGGGTTGCGCATGGATTGGAGGAGGAGGATGCTAAGAAGGAGGACGGTGGGGCGAAGAAAGAGGTGGATGTGCAGAGTCCTGTTGCTGTTGAGGTTGGTGAGGGGGAGTTTGTTGATTGGGAGGGAAAGAAGAGACCCGTTAAGAAGTGGTTTGGGATTTGGTGATTTCCTGTATCACTACCGGGGTAAGGAGGGAGATGTGGTGTGATATGATGTGATATGACATCGCCATTTGGGAGCTTGCTATATGCAGTGGAAAACGGGGATTATGGCTGGAATGGATGGTCCAGATTCGGGCATTCTGATATCCGATATTGATATTGATTGATCTATACAGATCAATTTATGTACATTAGAACATTGTTATGCATATGCCATAGAAGATACTTCAACTCAATACGAAGCATACACAAGGACAAGAGAAGTACAAGTAGAAACAAACAACACCAGCTCCAAACTCCAATGGCATCAGAGATCGACATCTCAAAGCATATGCAATACCTATCCAAGGATATTTCTACTTATACAAAAGCACTCCAATTTTAAATAACTTCAACACCCTCAAGCCCTTCAAGAACCTCCTCCCCAACACCCCCCTTCTCAAGAACAGTCTTAACCATCCGAGCAATAACACTCCTCTTAACACCACCCCTACGCGGCCTCCAAACCCGCGAAACCTCCTCCTCCCCAGTCGCAGGATTAAGCAGAGCAGGATCATCCGACGGCGCCGTGGCACCGAGCATATTCACGTTCTCAGAATTGGGAATACCAGGCTGCGTCAAGCGCGAGGGTGGGTCGATGGTGCGGATGGAGAGGAGTTTGAGGGTATCGGAGTCACCGGTGCGAGTGACGGAGATTGCCAGAACGGCGTCGGCGACGGCGATTTCTTCCCGGTTTGGGTCGAAGATGATGTTTTCGCCGACGGAGATTACTAGGAGGGTTACTGGTGGGCGGACGGGGTGGGATTGCGCTGTTGTGGTGTGTTTTGCGGGTTTGTTGGTAATGCGTGGGTAGAGGTATTCAGCGGCGGCCCAGTCGTCGTCGAAGAAGGGGTCTTCTTCGCCGGTTGATTTGAGTTTTGGGAGTTTGGTGCTTAGGAGGGCAAGGTGGGTTGTTAGTGAGAGGAGGGGGAGGGGGTAGGCGAGAGGTTGGGAGAGGAGGAGGACCTATAGGTTTGCTAGTTAGTTTTCGTCACGGTATATCGAGGCTCTGCGGCCTTTCTCGCGCGGAAGCGAAGATCAAGATGGAGCACTCACATCAATATACAACCTCCAATGCCAACGCTTGTTAATAACAAGCCTCCCCTTCAAACCACCAGCCATCTCCACATCTTTCCCATCCTCAACAGACCCAACAAGACTCTCCCTCATCATCTCAGACAAGAAAACCGGCAACGCATCATCATCCCGAAACCCAGGAATCTCGATAGACATCTGCACCCACTCTCCCTGCCCAGAAACAGCAGCAGAACCCTCCTCACCCTCTCGGTTCAGCTGGTCACCTTGTTGCCCCAGACTGCGTGAGTCAAGGGTATCAGCCGCAATAATCGTCTTCTCCACTTCGGCTTTGACGCCGACGATCGCCTGTGTGCCATCTGCGAAACCGATGCGCGCGCTGCCGTTTGTACCCGGCAGAATGTTTGTTTCTGCGCTTAGGGGGCGGAATTGTGTGGGCGAGCGGCCGTCTGGTCGGATTGGTGTTTTTGGGAGGCTGAGGGAGGTGTAGAGGTAGGAGAGTTCCGCGGGGGAGAGGTGGGGGACTTGGGAGGCTGATGTTGCTTGTCTTTGGGAGGCCATTTTGGCGGTTTGTTTTATCCCACTTTGCTTTCAGGGATTGAGGGGTCGTTGTGTGAAAATGGGGTGTTGGTAAGCTTGTGAGATGCTTGCGCGAGGTTATCGTTCTGTTGGCGATTCAAATTTGTGGTGATCGGCCTGCGATTTGGAAAGCATATGCAGTTGGCCTTTGAACGCAGTGGTTGTAGAGAGCGTGGGATTTAAGCTGTGGCCAATGTAGCTTCGGCTTTGAGGTTGGTGGTTCACAATTGGGGAAGGAAAAAGTTGGTAAGGTCAAGCAGAGCAGTCTCAATCAGGAAATTTGGGCGGAGAATTGTTGTTCCGCTGATATCGGTGGAAGTATACAATCACAATATTTTCCTTCCAGTGTAAGTATCTTAATTCAGTGTCATGGAATTACCGCTTTTAACATTCTGATGAAGAGTTCTAGTTCTTACTTGTTACATCTTAGGTATCATTCATACCATCCTATCGCTCTCATCACCCATAGCAACCAGTCTTACACTGTAAAGTCAGTCTACAAATCTATTTGTTACAAAGAGTATAACGTGAGCAGGTTGAAATGCATGTATGCACCGAGGTAGTATGTAAGGATTTGGTCATGACCAGAGGGCTATATTACAAAAGTATATAAACGGCTGGATCCCCGCCAGCGTCAGAAAGTGCAAATTATACAAGAGAGTGAAAAGCGGGCAAGCGGGCAATGGATTGTAGCAATGTAAATGCAGAAAGAATGAGTGACAGCAATAGACAGGATAAGGTTGGTCAATGTACAAGGGGAGGGTAAGAAGTATATAAACAAAAGAAAATGAACGCCATATTCATCGAGAAGATGTGCAGGGGAGGTCAGGTATGTGAAGCAAAGGAAAGGTGGTATATAGTGCGTCTCGCGCACGTGGTATCAAATGTGAAGGAAAGGAAACACGCCCCAAATAATGTGAATGTGCATGTCAATAATGACGAACGAAAGGACTCCATGAAAGGAAAGGGAAATGGGAAACAAGGCCGGATCCATCTATAACAAAGGCCTGTAGGGGTATGAAGTGGAAATGAGAAACCTTTGGCAAAAAACCATGCCCATATGTGAAAATGAAAACTCCCCGAAAGACCAGACCGTGGGGAGAATAAACAATAATGCCCGAATCGAATTCCATACGCCTTGAGCTCAGTCTTCCGTTGTTGTGATTTCGCCAGATTTTTGTGCTTCTCGCTTTGAAAAGTCGTGTGATGTTGAAAATGGAGAGGTCATTTTTAGATGAAATTAGATCCACGGGCAAAGTAGTCGGAGCCCTTGTTGTGCCATTCAGCCTCCTCGTAGGGAGGTGTGGGCCAATGGCGGTTGGCGGCCGCATGATCGACCTTGAGGTTCAATTTACTCGGGGTAGATTGGTGACCAAATGCGGTAGAGTCTTTGGCACTGGGAGAAGGCGTGGGATACGGGCTTGGCATAGCACGCGACTTGTCGCCATGGCGATGAGCTACCGTGGGCGACTCGCCAGACATAGACTGAGTTTGAGCCAGGCGCCTAGCTGCCTTGTTGGCCGAGTGTAACACTTCGTCCAGCAACTCATCCTCCTCCTCGGGAGTCTCGTACCGGTGAACAGGGTGAGTAGACATCTGCTTGGCGCGGCGGGTCCTGCTAGAGATTGGGCTAGGGTTGCTTGTAACTTGAGGCATTGACTGGCGCTTGGTGGTGTTTCCATCGGCGCTCAAATGCACAGGGACATTGCTCAGAGTGGACGAGTCCAATGAGTACTTGACACTCTGGAGCGCCTTGTCCAATTCGCTCAAGTCGGAACCTTGCTTTGATTCGTTGCTAGCCCCATCGAGAGCAATGGATGACCGGTTCGACCAAGGGATGCAACCCGCGTTGGCTTCGATGTCATCACTCGGCGGGGGTGCATTGCGTCCTGACAGTCTGCGAGCGCGCTTGCGCAGATGCGAGAAGAAGCTCTCCTTTGCGGTGGGAGTGTTGTTGCCGGAGCCATTCAACATCCGTTCAGCTTCTTGGCGGTGCACGTCCGAGTAGTGGTTGCCATTGGAGTTGACCGAAAGTTGACGGCCAATCTTTGTGCTAGCCTTGCTAGTAGAGGTGTCAGAAGACTTTGAGCCTTCGTTATGGGCCACTGTCGCGTTTGCTTGGGCGGTAACAGAGTTGGAAAGAGGGGAAACAGGGCGGATAGAAGGAAGAATAGGCATAGGTGCGCCGTTGGCCCAGGTGGCCCGCTTGGTGTTGGCCGGACGGGCCGCCTTGACAGGCTGGATCTCAGGCGCAGTGACCTGAGAAACGACCGGTGGCCGAGCAGGGTTGTCCTCGACAGGTGCAGGGCTATCTGACCGAACGATCAACGATCGGCGGAACCAAGAAGGCTTGGATGACAATGTAGGAGAGTCATTGGGCGTGAGGGTCGGCGACTTGAAGCTCCTGTCGGACTGCTTGCGACCCAGCAGTCTGGCCGAGGTTGAAGACTTGGGTCGCACGGGATCGACCGCGTCGGCAAAGTACTCATGATTCAATGCTTGAGTCGACGTAGGGCGGTTCTTGGGGTCCCACATGAGACACCAGGTAACGAACTCAGCGAATGCCGCTGGCCACTGTGGGGGTTGCAGTACTGTCTCCATCGCGTGTGGCGCCATCTTGGGGAAGGTGAAGCCCAGCTTGTGAGCTAGGCGGGAGCCTTCGCGCCATTCACCACCTCCAATCTTCGTGCCAGACTTGCTGTACCAGTTTCCAGGGCTGCCCATGATCTCACAGACGCGCCAAACCTGATCCACCTCGTTGCCTCCGGGGAACAGGGGCTTCAATGTAGCAATCTCCACCGCCATAGCTCCCATCGCCCACATATCCACCGGAGCGGAGTATTCTCCTGCGCGTAGAAGCACCTCGGGTGCGCGGTACCATCTCGTTGAGACATATGTTGTGTACGGTTGTTTGGAGTGTGTTTCACGCGCCAGACCAAAGTCGGCAATCTTCACGGTGTAGACAGGAGGAGTAGAGGGAGGGGTAACGAGATTAGAGTAGCGGCTAAAGGTGGAATCGTTGGGGGCGGAGGTCGACACGAGAATGTTCTCGGGCTTAATGTCGCGGTGGAAGAAGTGGTGGGCGTGGATATGGTCCAAACCGGACAAGATCTGGTAAAGAATGCTTTTGACGTGCTTGCCGTCAAATGACTTGTGGTCACGGGCCTTCATTAGTTGGTAGAGGTTGCCGTCCATGTATTCCATGCAGATGTGAAGCTTGCGGGAGAGGGGATCAAGGAAGATGTCGAGTGCGGGAACAAGGTGAGGATGAATGGGGAGGGTTCGGAGGAAGATGACCTCTCGCAGGTCCAGACATGGGGCCAAGGAGTCGAATGTCTTCTTCATGGTTTTGATCGCAACCTGGGCTAATGTTAGTCATCGCGCACCACCTGGGCACCATGTTGCATTCCATACCATCGTTCCTCTCCGAGCAATGTGGGCACCGGCAGTCCGTACACGTGCCACGGCGACGCTACCGAAGCTGCCATCGCCGATCTCCTTGATCACTTCAAAGCGATCCTCAAGAGTGGCCATCGAGGTATGTGACCTCGGGGCATCATATGTGACAGTCATGGTGTCTCTTCAGGTCTGGCCAGCAGATCGACGAAGAAGGGGGTTCTACTCTGGTCAGCTCGTATTCAGTATCGGTTCATCTCAGGCGGACTCACAATTATGTAGGGGGAAGAGTGTAGTATGTGGATATAGGGAATCAATTGCAGCAAGTGCTCATATCCGAGAATCAATGCAAGCCAAAATATTGGGTTCCCATGGAGGAAAAGTAAGGAGTGACAAGGTAGTTGGAAGAGGGGGAGTGAAGGTGGTCATGTAGTGGGCGATCTGGGACAAACTACTAAATGGGCACGAAGCAATAAAAAGAAATCCAGAATAGGAGAAGACCCGTTCTAGGTGGAGGGATCGGAGGACCGAGGGTGAGCCCCTGACGCGCTGACAGCTCGAGCTCCTAGACGGGGCCGTGGAGACGGTAAATTAAATCACCTTAGGCCGTTGCAGATCAGTCCACCGTGGCAAAGTGGGAGACTAAAATGAAACTCTGTATACTGTAGACAGTGTAGATGTAAATATCAGTCAAAGAGAGAAGAGCAGAGACGGGGGAATAATAAGACTATAGAGAAAGGAAAAAGGAAATACAATCTCATACCATACACCGATAATACAGGTAACCCGCCCACCAAATAGCCACAAATACAGTCTAATACAGCTAAATACCGGGTTCCTCCCGTCTCAACCAATGGGACCAACAGTGTGGAACGGGTACCTTATTACTTTTTTACACATAAACAATTATATCAAAAGGAATATGTTTTATTCTCTAAAGAAGGCAAAAAAAAACATTAAACTCTACTCTGTACTGTACCGTCACGGTCATCTGATGCACGGCGCCTAATAATTCGGGGGTTGGGCATACACCTGCAGCCTGTAACCGTTAACCACGCAGTCTTGTGTTGGCTTTGGGCCGTGTCCTGTAATTTACTGCCTCGAACTATCACGTCAAATCATTTCAATCCTTTTAGTATATCTATCACCTGAGAACTTTGTACGAGTCACCTCTTAGCATGTAGATGTAAATGGACAGGTGCACAGCTGAGAGCAAGGAGCATCCTATATGTCATGTCCCACGTCGGAGTTGTCTGGCAATTTACCCAAGATCTCTCGCTGTCTTACTCTCGCTGTTCAGTCTGTGTTGCCACCTGGTCTTCCCGACCATCCGAGCTTTCGTGGGGAGCTTTCTGATAGACCAATGTTTGGGTGCAATTAGGTTCGGCTTCGGCCAACAGAGCTTACATGCCATGCTACATATGAGGGGTTCTTTGTGCGGAATACACGCCCTAGAACCCGTATGCAGGTCTCGCATCCTTTGTTCGACTCAAAAGTGCGCCTCGATTGTGGTTGCCGTGGAATCCGTCTTGACATCATGAGAGACGTACCGCGTCATCCGGTTTTTCTCCACAAAGGAACACGTCCCGAGGACACAGACGTGGAAATGAAGGTCGATCTCCAGGTATTGCATTACCTGCAGGAAGTTCGCCTGTCAACTAGACGAACCCTGGGGCGGCCGTTGGCCCGCAAAGATCCAAGATTATTAGATTGTTGGTTTTACACATCGTTCCTATTCATCTACTCCCAACACCCATCGTTTCAATCCTCGGCAGTCATCCCTATCCGATCTCAAAATCTCAAATCTGAAAGGGGAAAAATCCCAATACCAGTGGATCAAAATCATCGACGCGAATATACACACCGCGTCCCAATACGCCCCTCAAAACTCCGTCACTCAAATACAGACCTCGTAGTGCGATGGAGTCAACAATGCCATTGGCCGGAGCTCCAGAACAGCCCACTCGCTCCACGGCGATCCAGTATTCTGCTCCATCCCAGCCACTCATGGCCCACCGAATCCCTCACAAACACCTAATGATGCACCGGTCGACTCGGGGCACCGCGGAATTCTCCACCGTGGACCTCGTCCAGGCCCGTCCCTGCTACCCGCGACCACTATGCGCTCTCCTGTGAGGCCTAGGGGGTGATCGCGCATGTCGCCACTGGAAACTATTTGTTTTCCAGTGTGCCGGGAGGCGCCGTCATGTTCCTTGGGTCTTCGAGAAGGATGTTCCTGGGTGACCATGGAAACGACTGTAAACTCAACTGTAAATGCAACGGTTCTTTGTCTAACAGAAGTACATCTTTCCGAGAGACAAAGTCAATTATCAGGGTCTATTCCGTCTTGTCTTGCCACTCTTGTTACCCCCTCAACCTGCCACATTAACTTGCCACACACATCTTCACTGACAAATCTACAGCAAGTTGCCTCCATGCACTGTCCATCTCCTGTCCTTACAGCGTGCTGGTACCTGCACAAAGGAGGTTGATCCCGGCCTCCTTAAATCCAATTCCAAAATTCCCCACAAAAAGAAACGAGGATTGCCCAGGAACACACCGTTAACAGTAAACCAATGCAGGCTAAAAACCTTAGTCCAGTCCATGTGGGCCCACCCCAAACACCGAAAGTCTCCAAAATGCTCCAGTCGCCATGATTTCAGCATCCCCGAATCCCCGGGCCCCTATGTGATCGCTGGAACACACACAGATCATGTCAGATCTAAATGGCTGATCAAACCGTGCAGCTTTCCAACTGCCAGTGCTTCCAGTAGAGTATGGTTCCACCGTCACTGCAGTAACGCAGAAAACCAGAAAGAAAATAAGAGTCTAACCCCTAAAAAAGAAAACCAAAACCGGCGTCTCTAACCTAACTCTCTACAGTATATTATATATGCGTTTCGGGAAGGTGTTACTTATTTGGCGTTTAGTCCATACCCTTATTCCTTCATGGTTAGACTTAGATTTAGCCCCCCTTCCTTCGTGCCCCTCGGCCCCTGCCCCCTTCCGCAGAGATATGGATATGGATAGACAGAGTGCGGATCTGAATACAGCACTAATACCCAGCTAGGAAGGCCACCAGAAACTTCCAATGTTCCAATGATCTGGCGCCGAATCCTGTCCCCGCCAGGCGGATGCGAACTGAGACGGATTATGGATTACGACGTATAATTAGAGCATCTCACGACGACATAAGTTATTGTGCATGTAGATGATGATATTCCCCTTTACCATTTGCCCCTCTCCCGCCCCCCTTCCCCTCTACAGTGTAGTCCCTCGCCCCCTTCCCCTGTTTGCAACTGGGTCTACACTCCGTATGCGTGTCATTTCCAACCTAACCCCCTTCCCAGCATACTGGGACATAATCTCCGGCCTGTGGTTGATTTTGAAACTATCCCCTGTTCGGGATTTGGCATGTGGCCGGTATATTAACATTAGCATTAGCGCCGGCTTCAGGCATCATGGGGTGGGGTGGTGTGCTTTCATCTTTTATAGGCAATTACGGTCTGTAAATCAGTCAGACTATTGCTTCTATTTGGGGATCGGATAGTGGTCTGTTTATTGTTATTGTTATTGCTCGCTTGCGGTCTTGGTTGTTTTGCCGAGGTTGTTGGTGTTATGGAGTACAGTATTGTTGGAATATTTTGCTTAACCTTATAAGTTGTTTTGGTGTGGCGCTTTGTTTGCCCCTTTTGTGGTTCTGTGACGGTGGCGGTGGCATTATTTTGATAACTTACCTTTTGTTTCTGAGGCATTTTTGGATGGGGGGTTTGAAGGATTTGATAGAATTGTTTCTCCGATGCTCCTTCGAAATGATATTGCCCCTTTTGAGGTATGGTTGAGAGCGGAAATTTGACCTCTGGTTAACCTTGTGAGGTATGGATTCGAGGATCGAGGGACCATTTCTTGACTAAAGCAACTCTCTGGTAACTCCTTTGATATCCTTTGTTCCTAAAAAGCGATGAACTTGACGCGAAAGATAATAAGTTACAGTTGTAGGCCGTAAGTCCTTTCACACCCCCTACTTTCTATAACGTACATGGTTAGCCCACCATTTTTACATATCTACAACCCGAGGCACTCACTCGAAGATGGGCAAAAAGAAAGAGATGGAAAAAGAGAGGCCAACGTAGGGCGAAAACAATGCATGAAACGGTATACTCGCTTCGGGGCTTCCGCGTAGAGACTGTCCGATACTTCATCAGTGGCACTGTATACACATCCATGACCCCCGTTGTACTGCTCGGCTTGATCGGTATGAAACCATCTTGTTCTGTTTCTTGTTGTCTTCCTAGATCTGGAATGAGCGTGGACAGCCACACTGGTCGGCTTGAGATTTCTTAACTCTATATCTGCCCTCTTTGTTGCCATCGTATCCTATTCCATTCGTCTGATACTTCTATTACGATCCAGACCTGAGGGTTCATATATGAAGCAGAGATGTGTTTGCCTGGAAATCAGATCATTTCACAGTTAATGAAGGCGGCTCTATTCTTTGCCCAATTTGCATGGCTATCCTAGGCATTGCTTCTTCTTCATTTAATACAGCATAATAGGAACAAGAACTCCATATTATTTGACACCTATTGAACGTAAAAGTGAGCATAGAGGAATCGTGACAACATGATGAATTGGAGTGAGCCAAGTGAATCGACGATGTCCCTCATTTCCGGAATGAACAACGCCCCAGGAAATGCTCTCGCCCAAACAGGTGTTGAGCGGCCTTTTAATGGCTCTCCTCCCCTCGTTCGATTCGTACTTCCACGCACGCCGCTCGAGAAACTCGAGAGTACCCTCGCAACCATGATGACCACACGCCGCAAACGTCCCTCGAAGCTTTACCCCCGAGGCTATGACGAGGAAGTCCGCCAAGCGTGAGTCTAACAAGACCAACACCATGAACAAAGTATGCTGACAATTTCTACAGTCTCGACCGGATTGATCTCCCTGCTTTGTAAGTATCCCATACCATCCTGTGCGTTGTGTCACTCACAAGTATAGGATCACCTGCTGTGTCTGCCACAGCGCTCGCTCCCAATTTGAATACTCCTCGAACCAGCTCAGCTACCTCCGCGAGGCAATTTTTGATGAAGGCTTCGACATTATCCCGACCCAAGAGGTTGCAAAGTGTGTTACCTGTTCTCAAAGCCAGGTCGTTGAGCTGAAGTGCAACCTTTGCGGTCACTATCGTGGCATTGACTACTTCTCTCGTAACCAGCGTACCCGCGAGACCCCTGTGCGTTCTGTGCTACCCTGATTTCTGACATGTTCAATAACTGATGCTTTTGTATAGTACTGCCAGCCTTGCATGGACTACCAGATGTCAATTGACCCTGAGGCTGAGATGATCGCCATGCAAAGCATATGTGAGGAGGGAAACAAGTCTGGCTCCGGGGCTGAGGTGGATGCAGCATTGGCATTGGTGAATGATGAACACTATATGGACGGACAACCGGGGAATCATAAATTACTGACACAATGATTGTCCTTTTAGGCAGACCATGACGAGAGCCTCGACGAGTACGAGAATGCTGTTTGGGCCCGTCGTAACCATATTCGCAGTGGCAGCGCCAGTGGTCTCCCTGTTGGCAACCCCTCTATGCCCAAACGCTTTGCCCGCATTCCCGTGAGTTTCAGATATTCCTTATCAATAGAGGGCTCGCTAACACATATATAGAGCGTCCGTCACCACATGCCGCCTCTTCCTGCGCCTAAGTGGGCTCCTTCTCCCGTCCGTTGTGGCCATACTGATGAGTCTAACGGACAGAAATTCCTGTGATCTGCTGGAGGCATATGCATCGGTTCTGAGATTTTCACCGGTTCAGTGAAATAGGCTGGCAGTTTTTCCTTTGATTCCATATTTGCTACTTTTCTATTTTCCCATGGAGTTAGGACAATGAGATGAAATGCAATCCCGTATACATATACTTGTAAGCATAAATTACAACGATCCATGGTTGAGTCGGTGGTAATGACAATCGGTTCCCCACAGTAAACAAACATTCTATAAATATCCGATCTGATTCAGGCAAAACATATCAATAGACCCTTTTATTAATATACTATTCTTGAATATAATATTCATAATATCGGGATATGAGCATTAGAATATATAGTTCAGCCCTCCGGTCTGCTGATCGGGACCTGAACCCATCGGATCCCAACCGACAGCTGGCGATGACATGCTTGGATCGCTGAAAAAAGTGCCCTTTCTCCCTATGATAGGCGCGACGAAATCGTATTTAATGCACATATCGCATGGAAGATGCATAGTAAGCTGCCGATCATGACGCTCCGATGCAGACTAGTAATATGACAGTGAAAAATTGTGGCACTCTAATATATTAAAGAGCGGACACCATAACATAGTGTGACGTCTGAAGCACTGTCGGTGGCTGCGATCGCCACAACGTTTCACTTGCCCCCCTCCCCCACCAGCCCTGGAGCCCCTCAGTTTATCCGACTTTTCTTCTTTCTAGAAATCCCAACCTCTCTGTGGCTGATTCTTGATTCCTGCGTATTCACACACTGATACACCCGGAAAGAGAGCTTACACCTCCATTGGACCCCATGGCCTACGATGGGTACTATTCCAACCCTTACCAAACGGGCTCCATGAACCCTCCAAACGACGGCTACTCGCCGAATCCTCCATACCCAACTCAATACGAGGAGCGCATCAACATGCCGCAGCCGCAGATGCCGACCGGCCCGCCAGCCCCAAACCCAGAGCTATACCCCGAACCGCGATACCCAGGACAGCACCAGAACCACAACCCAGGTGCCATCAACGACGCCGTAAACTCCGCCGTCCACAACAGCGGCTCTACAGGCTATCTATCGCCAGAGGTGCTGTCACAGATCACAGCGACGGTCATCCAGCAACTCAAATCAACCGGCCTGGACAACCTACAAGGATCACCTTCAGTCCCGGGTCCACCCCCGCTCCGCTCGCAATCGCAACAACCAGCCTGGCAAACAGAGCCATCGGTGCGCCCGCATGCTGAGTCCCCTCCTACCATGGCTGCACGGAGCAACTCTATCCCCCCATCTGTCCCTGTCTCGGGTGATAGCAAGGAACCTTTCCAGCCATACGTTGAGCCATACGTTGAGTCTGAGTATGGTGATAGTCGTCCCAGTCCGAAACCGTCTCCCGATCCGGTCTTTGAAAAGCGAGGCTCCATGTCGAGCCAGGGGAGTGCGCCCAGTAATCCCAAAATGGAGGCTAGACCAAAGCCGCCAGATCGCGATGCTACTGTTACGGAGATGACAACTCTTGAGCGGATTTGGGGGAAGTTGTTTGAGGATGGGAAGCCTACGAACAGGCTTGGTCAGTTCTTGCGTGGTATTGCGCTTCATTTGGTACGTCCTTCCTTTCGTTTGGTGTCTGTGCATGGGTGGCTGACTTGGGCAGATTGAGGATTATCCTCCTGGAAATACTATCGTCATTGTTCCTCACAAACTTCAGAAGTTTTACAAGGATACTCATGTTTCGTCGGATTCTTACCCATGGCATGGTTAGTATCCCATACATGTTTCTGTTGTCCAGATGCTGACAGTAGACGTCCAGATATCTTCGATGATCGCACATCGTCAATCTCACGCCTATTCCGCGATGTCGAGGCCGAGCATCATCTTGTACAAGACAAGCTTGGAGAACGCCCTGACATTCCAGGCCTGACACCAAAAGGCTTCGAGAGATGGGCTACTCTAATGATCCTCGCCCACCCCGAGCGGGAATACGAGCGACTCCAAAAAGCAGTTCTCAACATGCCAATCAGCAACCCCGACGACAAGAAAGAGCGCTTCCCCAAGGAAATCCCGCGCCGCCTCTTCCCAGATATCGGTGATCTCAAGATCAGAGAAGAAATAGAAAATCAAATGATGAAGCAATGCGGCGTCGACCTCCCCGAAATCACTGACGAGGAACGCGACGAAGCCACCCGCTCAAGAAGATCCCCCACGTCAACCACATCTTCCACAGAGCGAACTCATTCATACGAACGAGGCCGACCACCACCTGCGAAATCATCCCCGCCCGCAGCAAAACCGAGGGTAAGAACAGCCTCCACCTCCCCGGTCATGATCGACGACGGAGACGAAACAATCCCCTCCGCCCCAATCGAGCGCGAACGCAAACCCTACAGAGCAACCCCAGGAGGCGGCAAAGTCTACGAAGGCCCCAGCTCAGGTTCAGGCTCAGGTTCAGGCTCAGGCTCAGGCTCCCAAGCCCCAAGCCACAACCACAGCGGCTCCTTCTCCACGCCAAGACAATCAGACGCAAACATAAAATCCCACCCACCACCGCCATCCAGAACGACAATGCCAGACGCCTACGACCGAGACTCGCTCTATGCCCGCACGGGCTCAGGCTCAGGCCCAGGTACAACACCCGGCCGACGCTTCTCCCGTAGCTCGCGCAGCTCATCTCGAAGTGTGAACCAGCGCACTGGCGATTACAGACACTCGGAGAGTGACCTGTTAGGCCGGGACCGTGAGCGCGAGCATTTGCCACGGTATGGGGGCGTTTCGGCGCAGGATTTGCAGTACATGGAATCTCCTACTTCTGCTTCGCCAGAAGTTGATGAGCCCAGGCGGTTCTATCATCATCGCGGAAGTAGTGCTCGTCCCGATGAAGATTATTATCGTGGTATGCTTGGCGGACAGGGTGGGGGACCTGTTCATACTCATGGGCAGGGGTATGATAAGTATTATCGGTAAGAATAGTAGTAAGGGATGTTGATGTTGATGTTGATAATTCATCTGGTGTATTGATATGGACATGGACATGGATAACTACTTTCCATTTGGGCTCTTTTTCTGCTTTTATGCTTGTTTCCGGGGTCTTTGCTTTTTGTCTCCATTTTTGTTATCATTTTTATGTGTTTCATACTCCAGCTTGGCGTTTCATGGCAACGAAGATACCCCTTCTTTTTGGGGATTTGTATGCATGACTGATGATTTAATGTCGAGCTTTGTCATCTTGAATATATCTGTTGATATGTAATTTGTGGATAGCATCGAGTGGAAAAGTGAATTGTTCATCACAGCCCATATCCCTCTCATACCAGCTCTTCAGAGTCGAGTCATAGTACATTATCATAAACCATGAAAGCAATTGTATATACAGCCCTTGAGTATCATTACTATCACTTATCATCCCCCCACCCAAACCTCCTCATAACCCTAACCCCATCCTCCCGACAAACAGCCCCCTCCCTCTCTCTCTCCCTCTCCTCCCGCTCATACCGCTTCGCAATAACCCTCGCATCCCTCTCCTCCCTCTCACGCCGTTTAACACCTCGCCTCTCAATCCTCCGCCGCTCCTCCAAGGCCCTCACATCCCCCATCTCAGCATCAACTCTATACCCCTCAACCTCGGCATCGGATAACACCCAGGGCACGGAGAGGACCTCGATCAGGAACCGTAGGCGCTCGTCTAGGAATGCCATTTCAGCGTTTGTGTCTGGGACTAGTGTGAAGCGTTCCAGGTTTATTTGCATGCTTGAGCGGAAGAGGGAGAGTGTTCCTTTTATTCGGATTGTTGTTCCTGGCTGGAGGGATGTTATGTTTATTGGGTCGTTTTCTGTTGCTGTCATGTGTGTTTGCTGGGGGTTGGGGTTTTGGCTGGGGTGTGGTTTTGAGGTGATGGAGAAGTTGGACCAGGGGGTTGGTTCTGGTTCTAAGTCTGCTTGATCACTTGTGGTTTGGTTGGTGTTTCTGGTCGATATGCTGCTATTATTGCTGTTCGGTTTTGGATTTGGTTGGGTTTGTTGTAGGACTGCTATGTCGATTGTGGCGCCGCTGCTGTCGTCCAGCGTTAGGATTGTTCGTCGAGTTATCTCTGTTCGTGCCACTATTAGGCCTACTAGGCTAACGAAGCGGATTGGGTGGTTGTTGTAGAAAAATATGTTTTGGCCTGGTAGGTTGTTAGCTTTGGGTTCTTTGTTTTGTGTTATTCTGATTATATAGTTCGGGGAGGGTTGTGGTAGACAGATAGATATTGGGGAAAGTGAGCGTAATGCATATTGGATTATTCCCCATGCATAAAGCAGCGGAATCAAAGGAAACCCCATACAAAATAAGAGTGAAGTATAAACACTCAAAGTGAAAGTGAAGATATCAACTCTTCACGCTGTCGCCTTATTTAGGGTGTCTCGGTCTCGGCATTAGAGTACCCGTGAATAACCCGGAAATGCACAAGAACACTATACGTGTCGATCTTCAAGGGATAAAGAAATGACCAGGATTCAAAGAAGCTCTAAAATAACCTACCAACAAACTCTTTCAATCTTCGGAGACGGTGCACATCTGCGGCACTCATCTTCACCCAGGTGAAGTGCGTTGGTGACGCTTTGAAGCAGAATGCGGGGTAGAAAGTGAGGTCCACATTATTGTCTGTCGCCATTGGGTCATCTTTGTCTTGAGTGTCTTGTTTAGGGAATGTAGAATCTGGATATTGAGATATTGTTGCTCGTGGATGAGGTTGGACTGGAATTGAATGTTGGTTAGGGTCACGTGTTTGTATATCAAGTCGCGTGGCGCGTGTTGGTTGTAGTTCCCATATCCTTTATATCTCTATATTGGAATATATGGACACAACCACCTACAAGATGATTCCACTATTCTGATTTTGTGCTTGATTCTACGTCATTCTCAGGCCCCAGGGAACTCTGCACCAGCTAAAGTGGCTAAGTACCTTGTTGCTAAACTTTTAGCAGAGATCAGGGAGGAAAATATTATGCAGATACTGTTGTATCTCCTCTATCAATAGAGAGAAATCTCCCCTTCCATCATCCTCTTCTTCGGATTCCTCGGAGCCTCCTCCTGCCTCCTCCTCTCCTCGGGACTAATATCATCAATATCAGTCCCCTTCTCACCAAGAGCAGCCCGAACCTCCTCCTCGCCATTCTCATGACCAGCAGTAGCAACCGTCAAAATCTCCCTTTCCAACCCAGAAACATGTTCCCACTCAATCCCCGCCTCAGTCAACATCCTACACCCCTCAGACTCACCCACAAAAGTCTCAGGCTCCTTGACCCCAAAATAGACCTTATGAACCCCCTCTCTACCCCCCTCCGTCGTCCGCGCAATGCGCTGCGCACACGGCGCATTCCCAGACAGCCGTTTCCCGCACGGCTCCATCGTTACATACATGATGAGCTTGCGGCCTGGCTCAGCGGGGAGAACTGTGCTGACTTGGTCGTCTGGCACGTTGTGTACGGCTGCGTAGTTTGAGAAACAGCATTGCTCGGCGTGTGTGTTGCCTGCTAGTTCCATTGTGTACCCTGTTGAGAGGATGCGGTCGTCTGTGAAGGTTGGGTCGTTGTCTTTGCGGGAGAGTAGGAGGGCGCCGACTCGGAAATTTGTTGGGCGCGGTGGTGATTTCTCGGCTAAGGCGAGGCATTTCTTTATGTAGGCTGTGTGAGGGGAGGTGTTTGTCGTCATGGTGGGTGAGGTTGATTGGTAATTGATAGGTTTTTCTGTGGTATGGGTGGGGGATAAGCCGGTAGATTGTAGATTAGATTGATGTATATTGTAGATTGAAACGTATATGCAGCTTTTGAAAGTTGAGAGAGAATAGTGGCGTTGTAGAGAGCTTGAAGTGTTCAAAGTGGGCTGGTTGTGAAGGCGGGGATTTGTGGCAAAATGACGAAATGGTCCGGCGCGTCAAATCGCGTTAGCTTGAAAGGCGACGAAGTCACTACACTTGTGTTGATCTTTTAAGGAGACAAAAATCTTTGTTCCAAATATTTGGATTGAAACAATTTACTGTCACTTATTTTCAACAAAGCTTATACCCAGCTGTTGTGTGTTGCAATGGCGAAAGGCGCGAAACCCGAACAACACCATGCCTCAGACGAGGAAATGCCCTCCATCGAGGAGAACCTTTACAAAATTCTCGGTGTAGCATCAGACGCAACAACAGATGCGATCAAGAGCGCATACAAGAAGAGTGCATTGAGAAACCATCCTGGTAGGCAATTTCCCCAAACACGCCCAGAAAGAGAGATGAACTAACTCCATACTAGACAAGGTCAGCGAAGATGCGCGCGAAGAAGCCAATGCGAAATTCCAGCGCATCGCGCTGGCATACGGTGTCCTCTCCGACCCACGCCGACGCAACATATACGACCGCACCGGCAGCACAGACGAAGCCTTTGGCGAAGACGGCGACTTCAACTGGATGGACTTCTACCGTGAACAGCTATCAGCGATGCTCGACAAACGTGCAATCTCGGACTTCCAGAAGAAGTACCAAAACTCAGACGAGGAGAAGAAGGATCTGCTTGCTGCGTATACCACGCACGAGGGCGACATGGATGGGATCTACGAGACTGTCATGCTGTCCAATGTCCTTGATGACGATGAGCGGTTCCGTGCCATTATTGATCAGGCTATTGCGGACGGAGAAGTGGAGGATTTCGAGGATTATTCCCAGGAGCCTGAGGCGAAGAAAAAGCAGCGGGTGAAGAAGGCTCAGAAGGAGGCTAAGGAGGCGGAGAAGTTGGCGAAGAAAATTGAGGATAAGAAGAAGAAGGAGGCTGCGAAGGGGTCTAAGGGCTCTGAGAGTAGTCTGGATGATCTCCAGGCTATGATTACCAAACGTCAGCAGGATCGTGGTGCTGGGTTCTTGGCTCGTCTGGAGGAGAAATATGCGCAACCTACTGGGAGGAAGCGCGGTGTTGAGGATGAGCCTTCAGAGGAGGCCTTTGCTGCTGTTGGTGCTCGGAAGCAATCTAAGGAAGGTGCAAAGCCCAAGTCGAAGAGGTCCAAGGCTTGAGGTAGTCTTGCTTTCATGTTTATGCATCATGTTTCGGCGTTCATCTTTGTCTAGGAGTTGATTGCATCAGGTTGGCATACCTAGTTTGAATTCATATTTATTACTCTTTGCTCGGTGTATTCTAGTCAAAGACGCAAGATAGGGTCTTTAACCGCTTAGATGTATGTATCCTCTTGGGACGCCAACTTGTAATATCTATGCAGCCGCAGTGGCTGCAGCAGGAAGCCTCGCCTTGGGCTGGCGCCTTCTCCCACTTGGGGACTGATCTTTGTTCTCCCCGCAATCCCTTGCATTCTTTCTTTGACTTTGAATTCTGCAGTCAAGATGTCCAAGCAAATCCCATTTGTTTGAATGGGCTATACCGTCCGCGACCGAGCTCCATCTTTACCTTCCAGTGAGCTTCCAGAGCTCATTTCTAAGGCTTCTAGCTGATCAAACGCAGATAATCCAGAACATCCCCAGCGCAATCGTCATAAAAGGACGATCTGCTCCACATTCCTCAGCGCTTGGCGTCGTTGCAGCGGCTCGATGGATTCCCCACCGGAGGCGGTACCGCTGTCGTACCACACTGGAACTTCCCCCATATCCAACACTGAGCAACTCAAAAGCTTAGGTCGATCAACCATCTCGACAACTCCGATTGATGAGAAACCAACTGGTTTAAGCCGTGCATTGCAAAGCCTGCTGATTGCCCCGCCAAAGAATAGTGCGGGGACTTGTTCACCTAGAGCTCGCGGAACCCGCAGTCCAGTCGAGCCACTCGTCTCGTCGCCTTTGCGCATGAGTTATTCAGATATGGCGTCTGCTCCGAGCTCGCCGGAGAGGACCAGGGCCGAACCCGAAGCTCTACCCCGGAGTTCATCCGATCATGCCGTTGAGACTGGTACACCATCGAGCCGTCTTGGCACCGATGGAGATGCAAAGTTCGAGGTTTCTGCCTCTCCTTCGGAGCAGTCACATTCCAAAAAGCGCTTCCTGCAAGCCCGGGACAAGTCCCAGGGCCGGAAGGGCATGGCAGCCATGATGTCTGGGTTAGAATCACGACTCTTCCCGAGGAGCTTTTCCCGCGGGAGAGACTCATCGCGAGGTTCCATCCAGCGTGGTTCATCCCTTGACTCCAGATCCTCTACCTCGCCGGAGAGGGGTCGCCCGAGCTCATCCGGGAGCCATTCTATCCATGTAGAGTCAATACAGCCTACTCCTAACAACACAGGGAAAGGAAAGACAGTCCATATCCACGACCATCTGAATAAATCAGATGAAGCCTTGCCCAACTCTTCTGGAAGTCTTCCTGATTATGTCAAACCGGCTGCCGTGGAGGAAAACGGGGAACGACTGGCCAAGGATGTATTTGACCGCGACAAGAATATAATTGAAAGCAGTGAGGATGAAGGCGACGACACTTCAAGTGACGACGACAGCACCAACGAGGGTATGCGAGGTCGCAAAAAGAGGGCTGATATCACATCTATCACACCCGACGACTTTGAAAAGTCCAAGAATGAGGAGCCCAAGCCGACAGAGCGTATGTTGATGTTTCAATCATGCTGAAGCGCGATGAACTGACCCCATGTTAGAAAAAGCAAATGAGAAGACGACGGGGCCCCAGGAGAAGAAACCTCGGAAATCAGCTTTGAAAGCTGTTGTGCATCCACAGACGAGTTTCGATATCCCGACCCCTCGTATCCAGTCAGTGGCTGGTACACCTTACGGGTCCGACGATGAAGCGGAAATTGGCGACATTCATCGTGCACAGAAGCTCAGCATTTCCATGTCAGCCATTGATAATGGCGTGCACAACCGATCCATCCGAACAATTGTTCGCGGAAACTTTTCAGGCTTGTCAGACGTCGGCGACGGGATCCGCCGACGCCGACGTAAGTATCTGGTCGCCACCGACTTAAGTGAAGAGTCTGTATATGCCCTCGAGTGGACCATCGGCACAGTCCTCAGGGATGGTGACACAATATTCGCCATCTACGTTATGCCCGAGGATTCTACGAGTACCTCGGCTGTGCAGGTTGGCGAGGGAGCCAAAGTGATCAAAGACGCAACAGCGGTCGTTGGCACACAGACAAAGGAAGCACAGAATTCTGGCTATGGATCCCGAACGATCCTGGGTCGTCTTGGTCCCGGAACCGCCAGCAAGGCGCATTCTGCTGATTCCCGGGCGTCATCAATGGCTGAAGCGGAACGGGTGAGGGCAGTCGAAACTGTGTCTCAGACCTGTGTAAAGCTGCTGCGGAAAACGGTGCTACAGGTTCGCATTGCTGTTGAGGTTATTCACTGCAAGAACCCGAAGTCCATGATCACTGAGGCTATTGATGAACTCGAACCGACACTTGTTATTGTGGGTGCCCGAGGTCAAAGTGCTCTGAAGGGGTAAGTCCATTCTTTCAATCATGTCATTGCATGTACAAAGTAACACAATATTAGTGTGCTTCTCGGCTCGTTCTCCAACTACCTACTTTCCAAATCTTCAGTGCCGGTGATGGTCGCCCGTCGAAAGCTGAAGAGACATTCTTCCAAGGGCAGGCTCAGCAGCGCAAACGTGCGCCTTTCTAATAATTTGATTACCCCGAAGAGTCTTTCTCAGGCCAAAGTGGACTAATTGGTTATGGGCTCTCTTTTTCCTTTGGTTCCCTCTTGCTTGCATTTTCATGGATCATTATGAGACTACTAGCATCATGCTCAGCGGTTGAGACGGTGCATCAAACCTGGGATTCTTGCTTTCTCGCTGTTAACATGTATGAATATACCCCGTTGTCATGAATCATTCTAATCTCCCGTGCCGGCTATCATTCGTAGATAAATTTAGACAACTGAAGTTTTAGCATCATGGTTTCTATCCTTTTGCTATCACGAATTCTTTCAATCTACCAATGAATATCAAATAAGTGAGGATGTACTCTGTAAATGCCAAGAAAATACCGACGCAATCATCACGACCCACTCACCGCCCAAGCTCCCCGTCCCGTCGAGACAGCTGGAACCCCCCGTCCCACCTTTAACCTCCCCATACTACCCTTTCTTTGTTCATTATGGCCGATATGGATGACCCCCGGATGAGCTCCATCAAGCCCCGGATCCGCTACAACACCATCGGGGGAATCAATGGGCCTCTGGTCGTGTTGGACAATGTGAGACCGCCGGACCATCATCCGGGAACACCTTGCTAATGAATATTGGGAATAGGTCAAGTTCCCCCGGTACAACGAGATCGTCAGCTTGAGATTAGCTGACGGCACTGAAAGATCGGGTCAGGTGCTGGAAGCCAGAGGTCGGTCACCCACTTTCTGCCGTTTATACACTACCCAGAGGCTGACTTATCTACACAAATAGGAAACCGAGCAGTCGTTCAGGTACAGATGAGACCGCTATCCATCGCCCCTCATGTGCAAGGCATTAACGCAGACTAGGTGTTCGAAGGCACTTCCGGTATCGATGTGAAGAAGACCAAAGTCGAATTTAGCGGCCACAGCTTGAAGCTTGGTGTGTCCGAGGACATGCTGGGTCGAGTCTTCGACGGTTCGGGACGTGCCATCGATAAGGGACCCAAGGTTATGGCAGAGGACTACCTGGATATCAACGGCCAACCTATCAACCCCTACTCGCGAGTATGTGCATTACCAATATGAGTTGGAGCTCTGCTAATGGGACGCAAGGTGTACCCCGAGGAAATCATTTCCACCGGTATCTCCGCTATCGACACTATGAACTCTATTGCCCGTGGACAGAAGATTCCTATCTTCTCTGCTGCCGGTCTACCCCATGTACGTGGCCAATAACACCGTTAAGATATGATCTCTTGCTAACAACACACGCAGTCGGAGATTGCTGCCCAGATCGCTCGACAGGCCAGTCTAGCGAAGCCTAGTAAGGGCATCCACGACGATCACGAGGACAACTTCTCTATCGTCTTCGCCGCCATGGGTGTTAACATGGAAACTGCTCGTTTCTTCACTCGTGACTTCGAGGAGAACGGTAGTATGGAGCGTGTCACCTTGTTCCTTAACTTGGCAAACGACCCAACTATTGAGCGTATTATTACTCCTCGTCTCGCCCTGACCACCGCCGAATACTACGCCTACCAACTTGAGAAGCACTGTCTGGTCATTATGACCGATATGTCTGCCTACTGTGATGCCCTTCGTGAGGTTTCCGCTGCCAGAGAAGAAGTCCCCGGTCGTCGTGGTTACCCCGGTTACATGTACACGGATTTGGCCACTCTCTATGAGCGTGCTGGACGAGTCGAGGGCCGTAACGGTTCCATCACACAGATTCCCATTCTGACCATGCCTAACGATGATATCACCCACCCCATCCCCGATTTGACTGGTTACATTACCGAGGGCCAGATCTTCATTGACCGTCAGCTCGACAACCGCGGTATCTACCCGCCAATCAACGTCCTGCCGTCACTGTCACGTCTAATGAAGTCCGCCATTGGCGAGGGCCGCACCCGCAAGGACCACGGCGATGTCTCCAACCAGCTGTACGCCAAGTACGCCATCGGTCGTGATGCCGCCGCCATGAAAGCCGTCGTCGGAGAGGAAGCTCTGTCCTCGGAGGATAAGCTCTCCCTCGAATTCCTCGAGAAATTCGAACGCACCTTCATCAGCCAGTCTGCCTACGAGTCTCGCACAATTCAGGAATCTCTCGACATCGCCTGGAACCTCCTTCGCATTTACCCCAAGGAGCTCCTTAACCGTGTGCCCAAGCGTATCCTGGACGAATTCTATGCCCGCCAGGGCCGCAAGGTCCCTAACAAGGATGCGCGCGATAACTCAGACGAGAACCTTATCGACGCATGATGTGTCCGCGAGTGTTCTTGGGAGAGTAGAGGATGAAATGAAGAGAAAGCATTTTGGCGGGGCTGTATGTGTACCGTTTGTCCGTGTCAACTGCATATAGTCCTTTCTTGTTCCTGTTTCTGTTCTTGTTGCGGCTACTTATTTTGCTCTGCGGTCATACTACTTGATTCTTGCTGTCTTCTCTGGTCTAGTAAAGCATGATACAATATCGAACCATATTTCTGAGGCCGTGTGCTTAAAGAAGGAATCGACTACGTAGAATAGGTCTATGTAATAGAGGTAGGATATGAGCTTCCTGTCGTAGATGTCAATTTTGTAGCGAGAAACAGGAACTATTGACCTTCTGTCGTATGCCACGGAGGTATTTCCTTGACTGAGACTCCAAACCCAGATCTACAATGCTACGTGATGACAAGGAGGACCATGACGTCTAAAAAGGGGGTATCAATTCTTATTTTATGTGTAGAAATGTACGAGGATGACCCCCAGAGTAACCGAGAAAAGACTGGAGTAATCGAGAAGTAACCGAAAAAGAAAAAGACTGCAAGCCGAATGAAAACGCTTTTCCGAAACGCATGAGCCCAAACAAAGGCAAATCAAGTGATGCAATTCGACCAGAAAAGGGGAAATGCGAAGAAACAACTAAGTTAGCCAGGGATGAAAGGCTTAGAAGCGCAGATCCCAGCCGATCTTAGGTCCCAGCCGGGGAAGCTCGTCAGCAACCTGCTGGACATCCTTGTCACCACGTCCACTCAAGTTGAGGACGATGTCATGGCCCTTGCCCATGGTCTTGGCCAACTGCATGATACCCCAAACGGCGTGGGATGATTCCAGCGCAGGGATAATACCCTCGTGCTGAGCAAGAGCGCGGAAACCCTCGAGGGCCTGGCTGTCGTCGGCAGCGATGAAGGTGGCACGGTCCGAGTCCTTCCAGTTGGACAGCTCGGGGCCGACACCGGGGTAGTCAAGACCAGCAGAGATGGAGTGCGTATCAGAAATTTGGCCGTGCTCGTTCTGGAGAACGTAGGTACGCACACCGTGCAGGACACCGTGAGAACCACCGGAAAGGGTAGCGGAGTGACGTCCAGTGTCAACTCCATCACCGGCAGCCTCGACACCAATCAACTTCACGCTAGGGTCGTTCTGGAAGGGGTAGAACATTCCAACGGCGTTGGAGCCACCACCAACACAGGCAACAACGGCGTCGGGAAGCTTTCCAAGTTCAGCCTTCATCTGCTCCTTAGTCTCGTTTCCAATGACGGACTGGAAGGTGCGGACGATGGTGGGGAAGGGGTGAGGTCCGATAGCAGAGCCGATGATGTAGTGGGTGGTATCGAGTTCGACAACCCAGGCGCGGAGTGCCTCGTTGACGGCGTCACGCAGAGTGCGGCTACCAGCCTCGACAGCGACAACGGAGGCGCCAAGGAGCTTCATACGGAACACGTTGAGACCCTGGCGACGAACATCCTCGGCGCCCATGAATACGGTACACTTCATGCCGAACTTGGCACAGACAGTAGCGGTGGCGACACCGTGCTGACCAGCGCCAGTCTCGGCGATGATGCGGGTCTTACCCAGGCGACGAGCGATCAGAATCTGGCCAAGGGCGTTGTTGATCTTGTGACTACCAGTGTGGTTGAGATCCTCACGCTTCAACCAGATGTTGGCACCACCGACGTGGTCAGTCAAACGCTGGGCGATGTGGAGGCTGCTAGGTCGGCCCATGTACGGGTAGTACGAGCGGAACTCCTCCCAGAACTTGGGGTCATTGTTGGCAGTATCGAAGCCGCGCTCAAGCTCGGCCAAACAGTCCATCAAGGACTCAGGAACGTACTGGCCACCAAACTCACCAAATCGAGAAGGCTGGGCGGAGGGATTCTTGGTCACGTTAAGGGCCTCAAGCTGGTCAGCGAGACCAGGTCCGGAAGGAGTATCGGCATCGCTGATAACCTTGGTGGGCTTGGCCTCCGCTGAGGGCTGAGCCTTCTGGATAGCCTCGATGACGTTGATCTCGTGGGTAAGGGCACCCTGAGCGTCACGCTCGCGCTTGCGTCCAGTGACGCTGGAGAGGTACTCCTCAGCGGCCTTGGCGGCCTGACCAGTAGGGGCCTGGCCAACAACGGTGATAATCTGGCTGCCAATAACAACACCCTCGGCCTCATCCTGAACGGACAAGAAGTGCTCACGAGTGCTGACACCGAAGCCCAATGCGGCGGGGACATTACCAGAGTATTCGTGGACACGGCTCAAGAGTTCAGGGATGTTGGCGCTCAGCGAGCCGGTGGCACCGGTGACACCCATACGAGAAACGACGTAGATGAAGGAGTCGGCAATCTTGCAAAGTAGGCGCATGCGGGAGTCGGAGGTGGCAGGAGCGATCAGTGGGACGTATGACAGACTGATAGAGGATTAGCTTTCTGTGGTGGAGAACAAATGATAGAATCATCCAAACTTACCCAGCGCCTGCGCAAAGGTCACGGAAACGAACAGCCTCCTCTGGGGGCAGATCGACCATGATGAAACCATTGACACCAGCTTCTTTGCAATCCTTGAGCATGCGCTCCTCTCCGTACCGCAGAACAGGGTTGTAGTAGCCCATAAGAAGGAGGGGGGTCTTCAAGCCTCGGCTGCGAGCAGTGCGGACAAGCTGCAGGACGGTAGTGAGAGTAACGCCATTCTCAAGGGCCTTTGTGTTAGCAGTCTGAATAGTGGGGCCGTCGGCAATGGGGTCTGTGAAGGGAATTCCGAGCTCAATGATATCTATATTTCAGTCCCGTCAGTAAATTGTTCCGGTGCCACCGGGATTGGGATAACAGTACCAGCACCACCGTTTTCGAGTCCGAGCATGATGTCAACGGCCTCCTCGACTGTGGGATATCCGGCAGTGATGTAAGCGACAAGGGCAGCACGCTTCTGCTCCTTGCACTTGGCAAAGGTCTGCTTAATGTGGTCCATGGCTGAGCAGTGTGAAGGATGTGGGGTTAAGATAGTAGAGATGAAAGAATGGGGAAGGCCAGTGGTGGCTATCAATCCCGTGGTTTGTGCGGTGTAGTGTGTGGGTATGGGATATGAATGTTGAATTGAGAAGAATTGACGTTGTCAAAAGAGTCAAGGGACGCTCTATGAGTCAATTGCCATTGCCATTTTCGATGCGGTGCCCCTCGGTCACGTGTGATAAGATAGTGAGTCATATGTCTGTTCACGTGCTATCACGTGGAATGTTCGACCCTATCACGTGCTGTCTTTGTATTGACGATCAACCATGGAGATCAATAGTTTTATAATGCCAACTGAGCTAAATAAGAATCTCCTCAGCCCAGTATCTATGCGCCTTATACCTTGAATTTGTTTGGGGGAATTCCATGACTTTGGGAAGCGCCTTGACAGCCCACGATAATCAATATATATAGTCATAGAACGAACCATCTACAGCAGAGAGATATTTTCTCAACATAAATACTCGAGCGTAATGCTAAGATGAAAGAGACAGTTGCCTTCCATCTCCATGTATAGCATCCACTGCTGGTAAAGGCGTCTAGCTAGTTGGCAACTACAACGAGCGCATTCCGATCAAACTCGGCCTTTCATATGATGCGTTCATTGAAGTCCCATTGTAATTCAATACTAAGACAGAAGCCACTCTGTTAATTTGACAGGAAGTCGAGCTTTCATACCCACATAACTATTTACAAAAGCGAATCGCACATTCTCGTCAACAACTTGAACACAAGTTACCCGATATACCCCCAAGGCTAGCCTTGCCTTCAATGGTTTGAATGGATTGAAACTCCCTGGCTTTCAGAGATGCAGAAATAATCAGTATAAAGTAAAGTGCTCCCGTTTTTACGAACAACATAGGTCAATAAACATCATAGACGTGTTTTGTAATCTCGGACATTCGGCCAATACGTCAGTGAGCCTCGGTTATCGATAAAGAAACATCCCCGCACGCCCCAACTCAAGCTCTACTTCAACACAATTCATAGAACATATCCAATTTACCGCAAATACACAAACAAAATGTCCAAAGCGATCTTCATTTCCTCAATTGATGGCAAGCCTGGCAAGCCAGGCCAAGTCTACTACCCACTCTCATTGCGGACTGTGCCTAAGCCATCCCCGCAAGGGGGTGAGCTGCTAGTTAAATTGACCGCCGCATCACTGAACCACCGCGACCTCTTTCTCCGCCAACACCTGTACCCGGGCGTAACCTTTGACGTGCCCCTTCTAGCAGACGGAGTGGGTTTCGTTGTCGGCGCTGGACCGGACGTCCCCAGTCCAGAGAAATGGCAGGGCAAGCGCGTGATTCTCAACCCCGGTGCTGGCTGGAAGGATTCGCCCGACGGGCCTGAGGAGGCGACTGGGTACCGGATTATGGGTGGCACAAAGGTTTATGATAAGGGGACCTTGCAGGAATATCTTGCTATTGAGTATTCTGAGGTTGAGGAGGCGCCGGAGCATCTCTCTGACGCCGAGGCTGCTGCGCTCCCTTTGACTGGGTTGACTGGTTGGAGGGCTTTGATTACCAAGGCCGGGGAGAGGAACTCTGGGGATGGGGCTGCTGTTTTGATTACTGGAATTGGAGGTGGTGTTGCGTTAATGGCGCTTCGGTTTGCGGTTGCGAGGGGTGCGCATGTCTTTGTGACGAGCTCGAGTCAGGAGAAGATTCGGAAGGCTGTTGAGTTGGGGGCGACCGGTGGTGTTAGCTACAAGGAGGAGGGCTGGGAGAAGAAGCTGCTTGGTATGCTTCCGGCTGGAAAGAAGAACTTTGATGCGATCATTGATGGCGCTGGTGGTGATTCTATCGAGAAATCTGTCAAGTTGCTTAAGGTGAGTGCCACGATGGGATGTTATCAGTGTATTCATGGGCATAATACTTACATTGACAGGCTGGCGGTGTCCTTTCGATCTACGGAATGACGGTTTCACCCAAGATGCCGTTTACGATGTCTGCTGTTCTCAAGAACATCGACGTTCGTGGTTCCACGATGGGCTCTCGC